TTAAACTCAAAGGCTGGCTATGAACTCATTTCTGAAAGCATGTCTCTGGAACTAGTTGGTTGAGTCTCCCTTGTCTGGAATTCCAAAATATTCCAAAACCCACAACTTTTTTCATGGGTGGCAGAGCTAGTGACATTGTTGCGTTCTGAGGGTTCAATTTGCACAAAATTTGTTTCATGAATGACATTTAAAATATCATATAAAATTACCTTTAGGCTATATGTATAAGGTGTATACGAAACATAAATGACTTTCATCTTTGGATATCGCACTGTGTACATATAAAGCAAATACAGGTATTCTGGAAAAAAATTAAAAATCTGAAATGCAAAACATTTGTGGCCCCAAGCATTTCAGGGAGACTCAGCTTAGAATCATAGAATCATAGAGTTGGAAGAGACCTGTAGTCACTTTGAAGAAAACAACCTACTGTTTGCTTTTTCTGAAGACAAAACCTGAAATTTTATTCCAGTGTAGCAGCAAAATGGAATACAGTGGACCCTCCACATTTGTTGGGCCTAGGGGAACAGGACCCTCATGAAAGTGGACAAAATGCAAATAAAACCCCCACTATTTCTTTTTAACCTGAGAGAAAACTTCTCTAGTCATTTGAAGGTCCTCCAGCACAAGTCTATGGTTGACACCTACCAAAGGTTGGCCACAGTATTGCAGTGGAGGACCTACAAATGCCTAAAGAAGTGTTCTTTCTAGGAATCTCTAGGCCTTCCAGTGCAACTCTGTGGCAAAATCTGCCAGAAGCTGACCATAGAATTACACTGGAGGACCTACAGATGCCTTGAGAAGTGTTTTCTCTGGTAATCTCTAGGTCCTCCAGTGCAGCTCTATGGTCAATGCCCAGCAGAGTTGCACTAGAGGACCTAGAGATTCCTAGAGAGAACATAAGAATCAAACCTGTGAATAATCAAATCTGCAAAAATCAAAGCCACAAATGTGGAGGGATGACTGTACTAAACAGGTTCAGAGAAAGACATCTTTAAAGCCTCCGTGTTTTCAGTACAGTTCTTATATCTGTCTGCCAAGAGGGAGTGTATTAAAGTTTTGTAGTGAGCATGAGAAAATTTCAGACATGTGTTTGGAATTCAAGACCGGGGCAACCCATGTGGCTGCCAACTGATAATGCTGAAAATCTGTTCTGAGTACGGACTTTCCAGCCCATGTCACCCCATCAGACTCTTTCCTATCAGCCCTGACCCTTGTTCAGCACCAACAAGTGTGAACAGAGATGTCAGATTTCAGGCTGGAGAACAGGAGGAAAGCTCAACCTTTGGAATGCATTGGAAATGCCACAGCAATGGGAATCTCGTTCAGATCTAGGGCAGACAGCCAAAGTGAAGCAACTGAAGTCCTAGTTTTGTTACAGGAATAACAACATATTTAGACTTCTCCTTTTGGAGTGCAAGCCATAGTAAACACAGCCACACTGATTATTAGTCTTAATGGAATGCATTTAAAGAGCTCCAGCTTCGCCATGTATATTGCCTGAGTAATCATTACAATCATAATACAAAATAAGCCAGTTTGGTGTTCCCATACTGCATGTTAGGAGTGCGGTTTTCAAGTGGGTTGTGTCAGGAGAATTAGGGTAGATACACACTGCTCACTTATAATACTTTGATGCCACTTTGCCTGCCATGGCACCATCCTATCGGAGGATGTGTAGTTTGATAAGGGGCCCAGGAGTCTCTAGTGCACATTCCTGAGCTACATCATAACAGCTCTCTGGCAAAGAGTTTTCAGCCCCTCACAAAACTACGAATCCCAGGATTTCCTATGATGGAGTCCTGGCAGTTAAGTGCACTTTGGTAGCAATTATATAGTCAGTCTCTCAGATATACAACATGGGAATGAGACGGAGGAGAATTACTTATAACATCAGAAGACTATTCTGGTTTAAAATATATCAGTTATGCCATTATCTGCTTTATTTTTGACATGCAAGGAAAGAACCCCTGGTTCCTTTAGCCACATATTAAAGGAAGGTATCAAGCATGGGGAAGCTCCGTTGTTTGCAGAAAAGACCTGGGAAGCCATGGACCCCAAGACAGCCCAGTGGGCTCAACTGTTTACAGAATGAAGACTGACCCTTGGCAGAAATACTAGAAATCTTAGGCTGCAGCCACACTGCAGAATTAATGCAATTTGGCACCACTTTAACTATGGCTCCATTCTATGGCATCCTGGGATTTGCACTTTGTTGTGGCATCAGAACTCTCTGACAGAGATGGCTAAAATACTACAAATTACAGTATTCCATAGCATGAAGCCATGGCAGTTAAAGTGGTGTCAAACTACATTAATTCTGCAGAGTAGATGCCACTTACATATGAGCAGCAGTGAAATATAATACTGTGCGGAAGGGCATGGCTTACCAAACCCTAAATTGATGCACTCTGTACTACAAAGGTTGTAGAAAAGTCTAAATGTAAGAAGAAGGAGGAAAAGGAGGAAGAGGAAGAGGAAGAGGAAGAAGAGAGGAGCAGCTCTCCAGCTGGTACTTCAGTTCATAGCAACAGAAAAATAAAACTGAACAGTACAATAATGACAAGTGGGATGTTAGCAATCTTGGCTTATGTTTGGCCAACTTACTGTACAATCTTGGCCAACTTACTGTACTAGGACCAGTTTGTACAACATGTTCTCTTCTGCATGCATAAATATACAATTGATTTTTCAAGTTAGCTTCCCTACAAAGAGATTCAGGCCCAACAGCCGGTAGGGCTCTGAGTCCAGGTTTCCCTTCTCAATAGCGTAACCGATACCTGAACTGGATATCATGTGTGGGTTGCATCACGCCAAACCCGTAACGCCTTTTGTCTATGGGAGGGACTTCCTCCTCCTTGTTGACCAGCTCCATATCAAAATAGGAGAGCATCAGGAAGGCAAAAAGCTTAATCTCGTTGACAGCAAAGAAACGTCCAGGGCACATGGAGGTCCCTGCCCCCCAAGGCATGGTGGAATATTTCACCTTTTCCCCATTCTTATAGAACTCTTTTTTGTTGCCATCCAGGTCGAGGAAGCGGTCATGTTTGAAAAGATGGGGCTCAGGGTGGATCTCCGGATCCATATGTGCTGCCAGATAAGGGAAAATGGCAATTTTGTCTCCTTTGCGCAAAGTGTAGACCCTTCCGTCATGCATCTTGAGGCCCATGTCTTGCAGCACGGCCCGTATCAGCATGGGAGCTGCTCCCATCCTCAGAGACTCTTTCACAGCACTGTCCAAGACCGGGGTTTGGGTTAACATCTCCCTGGTGACATTAAGCATTTCACTCCCTGGCTTCAGTTCCTGACCAAAGTCCCTCACCACCATGGCCACTTCTTTCCTCACCTCCTCCATGGCTTTGGGATTTTTCATAAGGTATGCGAGGAGCCAGAAGGAAGCTGGACCGGTGTTACCTTGAGCTGCCCAAAGGAGCAAAAACATAAACCGATCCCGCATGTATTCGGGCATCCCAACCTCACTGAGCTCCTGCTGCTGGTCATGTATCCAGCCACTGATGTTGTCTTTCTCATAGACTTTCTTGACCGAGAGGATGTTCCAGAAGTATTTCCACAAACTCTCGACTTCTTTTTTCTCTCCGTAAGACAACATAGAATAGGATAAGCGGGGGAAAAGCTGGTCGTACTTGCGAAATTCCACAAAGATCTCTTCGGAGTGCTTTAGGTCCTGCTTCATGGCTTTTTCTTTCTCCTTTTCACCTTTACTGGGCTCATTTCCAAACAAAGCAAAATATCCTGCTCTGAAGACGGTGTTATAGCAGTATTGGAACAACCCAGCTTGCTTCCAGGGTTTCTCCCCTTCTCCAGAGTTCAGGTCATGAAGCATCACCTTCTGCAAACTCTCCATCATGGCTTGAGTCATCACCTCCAACCCATTCCCCTTCAGGTGTTTGACACTGGCTGTCTCTATTATCTTATGGGTTTTTTCGGAAGGCCGGAAGGCAAACACATTAGCCACGAGTTCAGAGGCAAAGGAGATAAAATCCAACTTGGCTCTTGATTCCTTCACTACTGCTCCAAAAGACAATGGGTCCATCAGAAAAGTGAAATAGTGCCCGGCGATCAACACCGTGAAAATATCCCCGTGTTTCTTTTGCATCCTTTCCAGGAAATCTAGAGTGTTGTTTCGGAAGTTCAACCCATGCCCTATCCAGGGAATGAGGCCTTTATCCACGGGAGGCTCACCAGGTTGCCTCTTGCGAAATGCTCCCACCTGGTAAAGCACCCCTAGTATGGCTACCAGGATGGCACACAGGACTGTCACCCAGAAAAACATCCTGCAGAGCTCTGCAGCAGAACCGTAGAACAAGTCTCAGGTTATGAGGAAGCATGATTCAAATAGGCTGCTGGTCTGGAATTAAGGTGGAGCCTCTGAACTTTGTACACATCGGGAGCTGAGTTTAACCCTTGCTGTGAATATTTGTATCTAGTAAAGAAATCTCCAGTGTGCCATACAGGGGAAAAAAATCTGCTTTATGTCAGAAAGCTATTAAGAATCCTTAACAGGTGAAGGGTGGGGATGCAGATATGTTTGTGTTTGGTATGCACTTCTTGAAGAACGTAGCTTTAATGTACACCATTTCTTTTTCTTTTCTTCCTTCCTTCCTTTTTAAGCAGCACAATATATCATGCAAGTTAATAACAAGTTCTAAGTTAAGGATGGGGGGGGGGGAACAGAATGTGAGTTTCTTGGATGGGAAAATCAAACCCGGGGCAAGAATTTTTATGATAATTCAAGGGAGAGGTGAGCTGGGAATGGGAGATAGGAATGGGAGCAAGGCTTGAAAGAACATGCATTCTGTATTTTGTTGTTGTTGTTGCTGCTGTGTGCCTTCAAGTCATTTCTGACTTATGGCAAAGGTGAACCTATCATGGGCTTATATCATGGGCTTTTCTTGGCAAGATTTGTTCAGAGGAGGTTTGCCATTGCCTTCCCCTGAGGCTGAGAGCATGTGACTTGCCCAAAGGCACCATGTGGGTTTCATGGCTGAGCTGGGAATCGAACCCTGATCTCCAGAGTTGTAGTCCGACACTCAAACCGCTATGCCACAACTGTCTCATTTCTTGCTTCTGTTCTGTGTTAAAATGACAATTCTGTACCTAGCTTTTTCCATTAAACAATCACATCCACATGCCACTCTGTGATGGTTGGTCTTTTCCTTCCTAAAACAAGAAGAGGAGGAGGCACATGCCCCCCCTCCTCTACAACCCTGTAGGACAAGACTCTTCCAAAAAGTAGGCACCATTTGCAAATATGGAAACTGGAATTGAGTTTGTAACACTGGACAATAAAGTTTAATCCTCTGGCTCTGAGCTAATTCGCCACTGTAAATGCTTTTTATGTTTTCTTCATCGTTGTAATAATAGCCTTCAGGGAGATAATTTGAAATGGCCCATAGGACCAAGAGGGTCATATGCCAGGATTGCCAGGATTGGTTACTTAGGTAAATATACCTGTACTTTATTCAACTATTTTATAGTAATATGCCCTGAGATCTTTGGATATAGGGTGGAGTGTAAAACTTTTTTAAAAAATTAATACAGTATGGGCCCATATCTGCATTTCACTTAGCCACGTCCAGTTTCACTTACTCACATCTGAAAAATGTCTGAAATGCTCCAATTTTTTTTTGAATTGAATGCAATGAAAATTAAGTTGAAATTGAAGTCATAAAGACAAATATGTAAGTGGATACAAGCAGAATGGAAACTCCCGTGCTGTATTGAGTGGAAAATGAATGGAGAATTCCCAAAATAGAGTACAGCTCTCTCATACTCTCTCACGTTCTCTCATTTTCTCGTGGTTTTCTGCTGCATGGGGGGTCTTGATGAATGAAGTACAGTAGATACTTACTAGCTAGCTCTCTATCCCTGATCAGATCACAGCGCCGTGTGGTCCTCTAAAGTTCTTGTCCCTGTGTACAGTGATCTGCTTCTGCTTGGAAAGCGCTTGTGATTTCCAGATAAGTGTTCGAGTCTTTTTGTCGATGTCTCAAGTCAAGTCTCAAGTCTCACCTTTCAAGTCTCACACTGAGTCTCAAGTCCTTGTAAGATACTTTCAAGTCGAGTCTCAACTTGAGTCTCAAGTCTGGGAGCCAATTTTAACAGAATAAAAATGAAGAAGGGTGCATTTCTCAAAGGGCACAGCAAGTGCATTAGGCAATGGGCTTGAGGCAGGCAACTCATTCCCATTGGGCATCACAGGAGCTTTCTAAAGCTTTTCAAAATGCAATTGCTATTCCCTTCCAAGAAATGCACCTGGCACTTTGGGGGATGTCTTGCCTGCTGCACAAAGTAAATGGCACCAGCAAGTCAGTCATCAAAAATATACAAGTCTCAAGTCAAGTCAAGTCTGAGTCAAGTCACTGGAATGACTTGAGGGCCTATACAGACTGCCAGAAATAATCCAGCTTGAGACCACTTTAACTGCCCTGGCTCAGTGCTAGGGAATCATGGGAACTGTAGTTTATTGTGGCACCAGAGCTCTCTGACAGAGAAAGTTCAATGTCTCAGAAAAAAATACAATTCCTATGATTCCCTAGCACTGAGCCAGGGAGTTAAAGTGGTCTCAAGCTGAATTATTTCTGGTAGTCTGTATAGTCCCTTAAGTCCAATTTAAGGTCAAGTCAATTGACTTGAGTCTACATTGCTGGAGATTT